AAACTTTTAAACTCTTGACCAAGTCTAACTAAAACAAAGAAACAGACAGGGTTTTTCCACCAAACACGAACTTGGCTAAATCTGCAAGCGCTTAACCACACTTGGCAGCATTATATAACAGTATTAAGCAAGTAGTAAAACAGATTCTCAAGCAGACACTTTCACACATAAAACTCACACTCAGGACTCAGGCTGTAGATAGACAAGTGACAGGTTCTATATAAAAGGGGACATTCGGGCATATATATATATTACCTATCTGAAGACGTTAACCACAGGAAGCCGAATGTGAAGGCACGGAGAATAAGAGAAATCCAAAGAAAGGAAAATATAGGTAAGTAACTCATTTACCATATGCAGAGGTGATCAGGCTCCATTTCCAATCTCTGGGAATCCTTTGTTCTCCTGTCTGGGGATTTTACGGCTTCCTTATTAACGTAACCCTTCTGTCCCTGTTTGAAATCGCGCCAACTGATTTGGATCAAAGAAAACTTTGATAATTTGTCTATCTACACCTTCCAAATTGATTGATTAATGCATGCACGCTTTCCCTAGAAGTAATTCACACCGGAGACCAAGTTTCTGATCAGTGAAAAACCAAGGAATGCTTTATTCCCCGGAGTGGGGGCTCCTTCTTAAAGCAAAAATACGTCACAGTTTAAACATACAGTATACATTCACCAGTTGGTTAACAGTCTAAGGGTTCTTGTCTAAACCCCCCCCTACAGGATGTAGTGTCATCATTACAGACTTCTCCCGCCTATATTCCAGCTCCTGGATACACGATGACAGGGTAAGTGAGTAGTTTCTTTCAGTTACTTTAACAGTGATTCTCCATTTTGTTACACGTGGCATATAGCTGTTAACTGGCACAAAGGAAGTGGGGGAGGAGTTAGTAAAGGAAGCTGTTAACACAGGAATTTTGGTTACACAAGATTTGCTTGATGGGAAGGGGGATGTTAGCAGGATGAAGAATTTACATAGGAAACAGCAACTGAACACATTGTAGGGGGGGAAGGGAATATTTACTCTAGCAGACAGTTTTAACATAGTGAACACAGAATAAATAGACAATAGTAAATAGCCATTTTATTTTAATTCATCTGTCCATAACAATATGAATGCACTCAAACATACGAATGCTGTAAACAGCCGATTAGGAAAAACCATACGAATAGGTTTACACTCCTAGCAGTCAAACTGGAACAGCATACAATAAATCCCCCCAAGAATGAGACAAGGCTCCGTTTTGAGGGTCAAGCAGGAACAGTCAGAGCTGTGGGTTTATTGTTCTTATATACACATTAGTACCACCCACAGGGTTTTGGAACACAACCAATAAACACATACAATACACTCAGACACCCCCACACAAAATCCTCCCCTCTGCTTGTGATACAATTACCTTACACAATGGGTAATATAATTATCACAAGCAGAGAAATACAATTTTTCCACAGTATTCATAACTTGAAAAGTATGCATCACATTCACATTTTCAGAATCAGCATACTCCAAATACAAACATATGTCAAAATCATCCAGATTGGTCCAGTGGTTCAAAAGATAGATCGTAGTCCTTTGAGACCAAAGGAAGCATGGCTTTTCTGCCCAAAACCAGTTCCACAGAGTCTTCTATCCTGGAGATAATTGGGAAGTAATCCAATTATCTCCAAGGACAGAGGCAAAACTCCATTGAACACATGGCAGCAAAAGACAATAAAACACATAAAAACATATAACTGTGCAGCCATTGCGCAAAACAGGTACATTTAACATATCCCCAAATAGCTCAGATCCGAGCGCACATTATTACTGAATGGCGCTCAGAGCACACACATACAGTTCAATTGCCAGGAAGCCAAAGTCTTTCCCATAGTCTTTCATTATACGAATGGGCTCCATGGCATAGCTATCTGGGGTATCACTGCTCAAACAGGGCCAGCACCGAATGACCCGGCTTTCGTGTCTCCGCAGGGGAAAATCAAGCGTTTCAACACGGGGCCATAGTCTAAAGGCAGCAGGCGGGCAACCAGACTCCTCCAATGCACAGTGGCGAGACTGGGCTCGTCACAGTAATTATCATGGCTAATATAATTTCTGGTGGTAAAATTCCACCTTTGATATACTTTGAAGAAATGAGCAGTCACGACAGTGACAAATGTCTTGTAGTACAGATTTGTGAGGCCATCTGTACTAGGTGACTTACCAGAGGACAGTTGATGAATAGCTGTCAAAGTCTCAGTTGCAAAGATAAGTCATATCAGGGTTTGTAATTGATCAGGCATAAATTGAGGGAGATGAACCGACTTCTATTTCCTGCTGGGCCGGGGAATGTGTAAGTGAGTCTACATGTAAATTGTACAATTTAGAGTAAATTTGAGCAAATTCTTGATGAATATCTAGAGGTACAGGTTTTTACCTCCATCCTCTGCAAGTACACATGCTACCCTGGAGCAAGATAACTTATCTCTGAGTCCGTTAGCAAGAAATTTACAAGCTTTTCCACTTGTATTATAGGTAGTGGCTGGCAATCTATGTAGCAGATATTTTATTTCAGTAGCATTTAGGGAATGCAATTGCTAATACAGCGATTGCAGGTGGGCAACCAGTTCTGGCGATGCATTGTTTTGCGTAGAAGGAAGGGCTATCTGTTTGTAGAGTTAGTAGATCTGATTGGTGTTTCCTTTTGAGGTATGAGGACCATCTTATAAACACACCTCTTTTGACTGGTTTGTGAACATCAGCATTTTGTTGAAAGTAGTCTGATAGATGTTTCTCAACATAGAAACATAGAAACATAGAATGTGACGGCAGATAAGAACCATTCGGCCCATCTAGTCTGCCCAATTTTCTAAATACTTTCATTAGTCCCTGGCCTTATCTTATAGTTAGGATAGCCTTATGCCTATCCCACGCATGCTTAAACTCCTTTACTGTGTTAACCTCTACTACTTCAGCTGGAAGGCTATTCCATGCATCCACTACCCTCTCAGTAAAGTAATACTTCCTGATATTATTTTTAAACCTTTGTCCCTCTAATTTAAGACTATGTCCTCTTGTTGTGGTAGTTTTTCTTCTTTTAAATATAGTCTCGTCCTTTACTGTGTTGATTCCCTTTATGTATTTAAATGTTTCTTCACTAGTGAGTAGGGACTAATTAAGTCGCCAGTTACCCTTACTATGAAACTGAAAGGAGTCTTGTAATTCCAGATATATCTGGCTGTGATCCAACCAGGTAATATCTCCAATAGAGCATGACTTGTATAAGTATTATGCACCCAGTAGTGGAACGTGTAGTCATGCTTTGTGGGGTGGAATATCCTCCAGGTATCATAAAAGCCATTTAGGGAAATCAGTTTGTGAAGCCCTTTGCAAGAGGTCATCAGTTGTTTATTTCTATGGCCTGTAGGTATGGTGGTAGTGGCTAACAGGGGGGATTGAATAATATTAAATCATTGCACAGTATTAACACATCCTGGCAGAAATCGTTTGTTCCGGAGAGAGTGAAAATTTCTTGTGTCTGAGTTCAGAAAGTATACTGACACTAATGTGTATTGGATATTGTTGAATAATCACACTAAAATTATAAATCTGCCATGTGGATATATGAATTGCTGTTTGATAGTAAAAGCTATGTCCTCATGCACAAATATAGGCACTCCTTTGGTTTTGTTGGTTGATAGAGTGTGGGACTGATTAGGAGTAGTGATGTCCCGAACGGTTCGCCGCGGACGGCGAACATAAACATAAACTTTGACCCTGTACCTCACAGTCAGCAGACACATTCCAGCCAATCAGCAGCAGACCCTCCCTCCCAGACCCTCCCACCTCCTGGACAGTATCCATTTTACATTCATTGTGAAGCTGCATTCTTAGTGAGCTATCCAGGAGGGGGGAGGGTCTGCTGCTGATTGGCTGGAATGTGTCTGCTGACTGTGAGGTACAGGGTCAAAGTTTACTCAATGATGAGTCCGTGGCGAACTGTTCGTGGCGAACCGTTCGCGAACCGTTTGGCGAACCGTTCGGGACATCACTGCTTGCTGACTATTTATAGAAGTCTTTATGCACACATATTAAACATTACCTATTGCCATGTTTGGACATTTTTAATTCAATAAACATAACATACACATTTTAAAAACGGATACACTATGTTATGCAAGCCCTGTTTCACCCATTTTTCACTACAGTTTTTAGATATGATGAAAGTACAGCTTACCTTTGGAGTGATGTGAAAAATATCCCAGCTTTTCTGTCTTTGACTCTAGAGAAGAAACAGAGGAGTTTATAAACACTACACAAACTTGTCACTTTTAACCTCAGATGAATTTTTTAAGTGCAAGTATAAAGTAAATTAATGGCACCATCATACTGTCTTGAGAATTTCGAGACTTTAGTTAGCAAAACTTTATTGGCTTCTACTTTTTAAAAGTTAATTTTTATTTACAGAATTATTCAGCAAAGAGTGAATTGCTCTGAATTCAATTGCTAGCAAATTCAAAGTAAATTTTATTAGGTTAAATCAACCATATTAAAATGTTTTAATTCTGTTTGCAGCTTAACTATTTCGGTCTTAAATTTGAAATTCAATATAAAGTCGCCTTGTAACGAGGAACCTTGTAAGTTACTTACTAACTATTTTATATAGATTTCTATAGTGCAGAACATGACGCAAAGAAGAATAGGAATGTCTTTATCATACAATATCACATAAATAATTAAATTTGATTTAAAAAACATTATATTTCTGCACTGCCAATGGTGTTCTACATATATAAGTAATTATATAGTCATCAATGAGCTTGTTAAACATCAAAAACAGGCAGAGTCAGATCAGGTTAATACTGGCACAGGTAGAAGTGACATTGATAGGTAGTCAGTAGTGATGTCCCGAACGGTTCGCCAAACGGTTTGCGAACGGTTCGCGAACGGTTCGCCACGAACGGTTTGCCGCGGACTCATCATTGAGTAAACTTTGACCCTGTACCTCACAGTCAGCAGACACATTCCAGCCAATCAGCAGCAGACCCTCCCTCCCAGACCCTCCCACCTCCTGGACAGCATTCATTTTTCATTCATTGTGAAGCTGCATTCTTAGTGAGCTGTCCAGGAGGTGGGAGGGTCTGGGAGGGAGGGTCTGCTGCTGATTGGCTGGAATGTGTCTGCTGACTGTGAGGTACAGGGTCAAAGTTTACTCAATGATGAGTCCATGCCCCAGCTAATGACAGTACTAAAGATCTGACTCACAGTCTGTGGAGACTTCACTCCCAAACATTTCCACCATTTAAGGAAGAAATATGCAAACTCCAGTACATTATTATATCTCAAAAGTTCTTAAACAGGATCTGCCTATTGCCCTCCTGCACATCATGTGGAAATAGTGCAGTTTACAAAGGCATGTTGTAATTGTGGTGGCAGGACTGAGAAAGTTAATTATTATTGCATAAAATGAAATCTTCCTTCTTATGGCCTTTCTTACATACATCTGAATACCTGAGCTTTATTAAGGAGCCATGGATAGCACTACCCGTGGACATGGGACTGGGAGTAATGTGACAAGTACCCTCTAACATTCCTATGAGTGTCTTGTTTTCTTTGCATGATGCGTCACTGAAGAGCAATCTATTATGTGATGTTCTCAGATTGATGAAGCTCGCTTTTACTGAGAGCTCCCCTTTCTTTGGTTACCCCTAGTATGCACATATGTGTTTCCATTCAGCCATTTGAACAGCATAGCCCAGACATCCTGGCAACCTCTCACAAAAAATGCAAGCTAGACTTGTTTAGAGGGGAAAAAAAAATTGGTTTGACCCCATTAGTTCACACACACAATAGTCAAAAATGGTCAAAAATTCGTCCATGTGACGTTTCAGTTCAGACAAATTTCAAAGATTATTATTACAAAAAAATCTTAAAACTAAAAAAAAAGAGACAAAATAGTCCAAATCAATGTACTGTATATATATATATATATATATATATATATATATATATATATATATATATATATATATTTGTGCTTGGAATTTAATACGTAATGGATAGTGTCTGAGATGAAAGTAGGTTGTGGTGTGCCGAAACTAACGCACAAGAGGGCGCACCAAGGAGAATTGTAATGCTATAAGGGTGAAGGTGGGTGGGGACAATCAACTTGAATGGCAGAGGTGAGTAGGGGCTGGAAGTTTAAGTAGGGGACTTCCTCCTCCCACAAATTCAGGCCTAATGGCCTTTCTACTTGTGCTTGGAATGGATAGTGTCTGAGATTAAAGTTGGTTGTGGTGTGCCGAAACCAACGTATGAATGGGCTGTAAATAAAAGAGGGCAAAAGAGAAATTCAAGGAAAACCCACTTTATTGCATTTAGTACATAACTAAATTCCTGAAGGCTTGGCGAAGCTCGCTTTCTGGTCGTGTTATGTACGTATGATATATGGAGGATTTCCATCGACCCAGTCTCTTGTTGATGTTTACCGGGGTGTTTCTACTAGAGGCTGATGAAGTGACTCCTATGCAGAAGGAGTGACCAGAGAACGAAGCAGGGTTGTAACCCAGTTTTGCCAGTAAGGTTCTGACGTGTGTTGTGAATTTAGCAGTGGTGAGTGGGTGCCCTTGTAGTAGTAAGAGCGGAGAGTCTGGTAAGTGCGTGTGGTGAGTTGACCGTAGGTGTTCTAGTGCCTTAACTGGACACCAAGCATTATTAGTGGGAAAGAGGGGAATGATAGTGAGGTGTAGTGAGTGATTATTTTTTGTAGATGGGACCGTAAGTACGTAGTGATCCTCCACCTTAGTGAGGTGTGAGATTTTGAGGCTGTGTGTGATATCCCCTTGACAAACAACAGTGAATTCTCTGGGTCTGAGGAAACCGTAAAAAGCTAGATAAATTGCAGACTTTATCACCAGGTTCATGTTGGAATTGAATTGCTGAGTAATCTAAAGATAGGCCCATCTATTGGTACTCTGGTGGTGGTAAGTGGAACAGAAACCTTTGAGATACCCTTTAAGACTTTCTTGATGGGGTATGATAAAAATAGGGGGTGTTGTTAGGGAAATTAGTGAGACTGTGGTGCTGAACCTCCGTGAGGTATAGTTTAATAGTATTGTGAAAAAGTTTTAAATGTAAGTGGCAGAAGAAGGCAAAAGCCACCGTAGTTTGAGTAGAAAAATCACCTTGAAATCTGAAATCTGCTGTGAATTTAATCATCTAACTATGATTTGAGCGTGGGGCCGTACCTCCGTGTTGAGGTGGGAGATGGGCTTGTGGGACCGGGATGTACTTGGGTGAGCTAGGGCCGGAGCCTAGACCCTGTAAGCCAGTTCACGCACCTACTATGGGTTAAATGGTAATTATGGGTGTAATGAGTGGATACTAACCTTGATAGTGGTTATAACCGGTAACTTGAAACTTCGAGTGTTTTAAGTAGAGTGGCTTGGGCCGCTGCTGGTATCGTAGAAGAAGCCTAAGGATTAAGACAGATGTTGATGTGTTTCGGCTTAACGTAGGGGCGTATGCTTGGCAGTAAGGGGTGGCTCTAGGAGCACAACGTGAGATTCTGAAGTGAGGGATCTGAATGATTAGACTGAGACTGGGACAAGTTTATGCTATAGAGAGAGGCTGATTGAGGCCTTAGGGGTAGCAAGTGCTAGTAACGAGTAAGAACGCAAATATCTGGTAATGGAGTGGGGTACCAGGTTAGGTAGGTTAAGTAGGTTCTTGAATATACACGAAAAAGTGTGGAATAAATGGCGCTTAGTATTATGAAATAGAAGAAGATATGGTACAGCTGCTGTATACACTCTGTGGGTACTCCTAATTGCCCACCACACATAAACAATCACCAAAACGCAAAATAACTTTTTGATTTGGATGATGTTGCCACCATCCAGATCTAGAGTTCCTTAAGTGAGTGCAGCGCTATATAAGTGCTGAGTAAGTGTGTTCTCGGAACTCTTACCCTTTTTCGCTTCTCTTAATACAATTCATACATAAAAAAGAGAACAAAAAGAACATATACAAATGATAGTGTAATATGTCTTTAAATAGAGTGATCGATGAAATAAGTGAATATGTGCACTCACATTTGTTAGAGCCTTTTCTAGTATTAGGCTCTAAACTTCTGCACGTCTGTGTCTTTTGGGTAGAACACACGACCCCTCTCTCCTTATGAAGATATTCTCCACTGGGTATATAAAAGATACAAATATTTCACACTAAGTGTAGCATCCCAGAATCGAAATATTGTTCATATAAGTAGAAATAGAGAAATGCTCACCTTTTTTAGAGCCCTTGGTAACCGGCTCTAAGTATATTTGCCCAGTGTCAAATTTTGGGGTGACACTGCCCCTTTAAATCACTTTTGTAGGATACAATGGATGGATAAAATATGGGAACAATTTATTATCAAGTAGTCTTATAAAAATACACTATTATTTCTAGAAAATAAAAAACAGTAAAAAACAGTATGATATAAAAGTATGTGACCTTAAAAATATATATATATAGGTTCACTTTAAGAGCCAAAACGCGTTTCGCCGGTAAAAACGGCTTCCTCAGTCAGCTTCAAAACAGTCTCTGTTTCTTTCTCCTTAAAAAGCTTGAATTTCCCGCCAGTTTTCTCAATTATCCAATCCGATATGTGTGTATGATGTGGCCGGAGTTCCGTCACGTCACTTCCGGTTATTTGGAACTACCGAGTCCATAATGCTTTGCGGGTGATTCATCACTTCCGGTTTTACCGATCTAAATTCAGTGTGACGCGGCCGCAAATGCCGTCGTGTCACTTCCGGTTTTCATGGATTGTAAAGTTCATAGTCCTCCTCAGTGCATTCTGTCTGTAATCACAACTCACCAACATATCTTAAGTTAGTGTCTTTAAAGTGCATATTTAAAGCATGTAAAAATGAATAAATAGATACATGTATTGTAAAATTCATAGTCCTTTTCAGTGCATACTTTCTGCAAGCATAATTCTCCAATATATCTTAAGTTAGTGACCTTAAAGTGCATATTTGAAACATATAAATAAAAAATAAATAAATAGATTCATATAAACTAGGTATGTGCAAATGTGCAATTGTGTTTATATTAAATCAGTGCAATTATTTTCAGTGGATTTCCAATCTGGATAGTGTTAAATATTGTATTTGATCATAATTTAGTAATTTATTTAAATTGAAGAGGAAAAAAAATAAAAATAAAAAAATAAATAAATCCAGACATAGATG